GTGAAATCAGAGAGGATACAAACAGATGGAGAAACATTCCATGTTCATGGTTAGGAAGAATCAATATCGTTAAAATGGGTATACTGCCCAAAGTAATTTACAGAATCAATGCTATCCCCATCAAGCTACCATTGGCTTTCTTCACAGAACTGGAAAAAACAACCATGAACTTCATATGGAACCAAAAGAGAGCCTCCATAGCCAAGTCAATTCTAAGCAAAAAGAACACAGTGAAGGACATCACACTACTGGATTTCAAACTATACTACAAGGCTACAGTAATCAAAACAGCATGGTACTGTTACCAAAACAGAGATATAGACCAATGAAACAAAACAGAGGCATCGGAGGCAAGCCAACATATCTACAACCATACAATCTTTGATAAACCTGACAAAAACCAGCAATGGGGAAAGGATTCCCTGTTTAACAAATGGTGTTGGGAAAACTGGCTAGCCATGTGCAGAAAGCAGAAACTGGACCCCTTCCTGACACCTTACACTAAAATTAACTCCAGATGGATTAAAGACTTAAACATAAGACCTGGCACCATAAAAACCCTAGAAGAAAATCTAGGCAAAAACATCCAGGACATAGGAGTAGGCAAGGACTTCATGAACAAAACACCAAAAGCATTGGCAACAAAACCCAAAATAGTCAAATGGGACCTAATGAAACTCCACAGCTTCTGCAAGGCAAAAGAAACAGTCACTAGAGTGAATCGGCAACCAACAGAATGGGAAAAAATATTTGCAGTTTACCCATCTGACAAAGGGCTGATATCCAGAATTTACAAAGAACTCAAACAGATTTACAGGAAAAAAACCAACAAACCCATCCAAAATTGGGCAAAGGATATGAACAGACACTTTACGAAAGAAGACATATATGAGGCCAACAATCATATGAAAAAATGCTCATCGTCACTGGTCATCAGAGAGATGCAAATCAAAACCACATTGAGATACCATCTCACGCCAGTTAGAATGGCGATCATTAAAAAATCTGGAGACAACAGATGCTGGAGAGGATGTGGAGAAATAGGAACACTTTTACACTGTTGGTGGGAGTGTAAATTAGTTCAACCACTGTGGAAGACAGTGTGGCGATTCCTCAAGGCCTTAGAAATAGAAATTCCATTTGACCCAGCAATCCCATTACTGGGTATATATCCAAAAGACTATAAATCGTTCTACTATAAGGACACATGCACACGGATGTTCATTGCAGCACTGTTTACAATAGCAAAGACCTGAAATCAACCCAAATGCCCATCGATGATACACTGGATTGGGAAAATGTGGCACATATACACCATGGAATATTATGCAGCAATCAGAAATGATGAGTTTGTGTCATTTGTAGGGACATGGATGAATCTGGAGAACATCATTCTCAGCAAACTGACACAAGAACAGAAAATGAAACACTGCATATTCTCACTCATAGGCGGGTGATGAAAAATGAGAGCACATGGACACAGAGAGGGGAGTACTAAACACTGGGGTCTATTGGGGGGAAAAGGGGAGGGCCAGTTGGAGGGGTAGGTGGGAAGGGATAGCCTGGGGAGAAATGCCAAATTTGGGTGAAGGGGAGAAAGCAAGCAAAACACACTGCCATGTGTGTACCTATGCAACTGTCTTGCATGTTCTGCACATGTACCCCAAAACCTAAAATGCGATAAAAATTAAAAAAATAAAGATTAAAAAAAAAAAGTCAAATAGAGCTCAACGTCTGTCCCACTTCAGCCATTAAAAATTACACTACTTTTAACCCTCTACATTAAAAAAATGAATGGATGTGGGCAGGATGTGTGTAAAATATAGTTCACAATGGAAAAAATAAGAGTATATTAGGTCATAAGGATGAGACTCAGTCTCCCAAAGATCTCATGGCATCATAAACCTGCAGACACTGCCTGAGTGCTTTAGCTGCACACCTGACTTGTACTGCCAGATAAAATACAGGACACCTAATTAAATTTGAGTTTCAAATATGTGACAAATAATTATTTTAGCATGTCATGACTATGATCTAAATATTGCATGAAGTACACTTATACCAAAACATTTATAATTTATCTAAAATTCAAATTTAACTGGGCATTCTGTAGTTTTATTTGCTAATGATGGTGACTCTACACCTGACATTTCACCACCCACTGAGTTGTTATACCCTGTTCACTGTATGTGAGAGTTTAAGCTATTTAATGAGCAAGATCAGAGCAGAAATGGCATCACTCATGCTGGCCAGGTCTTGTTTTTATTTTATCTTTCATCTCTAATTCAGAGGAATATTTTGTGAGAGAATGTCAGCCCACTATTATAATTCCTTAAAAAAGAGATTATACCTCAAGCAACCCAGTTTTCTTTATTAACACTAATATCTATCAAATCTTTACTATATTCTAGACAATGTTTCATAGTGCCATATATGTGTGCTTTTAAAAATGGTACATTATCCCAATGTTACTGATTAGAGAGCTCTGGTAAAAAGCATTAAGATACTTTACTCAAAGCCATTGATCATGGAGTACAGGGCAATGAATTGAGGCACTTTGACCCCCTACCTGGCACTCAGCCACGTTTTCTTAATTAATCTTTGAGTCTTTATCTACAAATTTATGTAAACCTATTTTGAACTCAACAATAAACCTTTAAACACTTAGTAATATATTTGAAATATCCTATATTTTTCTTAATATTATACAAATTAGATTTTTAACTATTTGACTAAGTCTTCCTTTAATTTACTTATTTCTTGACCACATTATATCTTAGACAATGACTTTCATAAATTTACTAGTTGCTCTATATCTTTAAAACTACCTATTTTAAGTTATATAAAGTGATCCTACTTCTTGGCTTCCCAGATTTGATAAAGAGGTTGACATTCTACCTAATAACAAGATTGGGATTATGTAAAATTCACTCAAAGTATATCTTCGTAATCTTGTTTTTCTTACATGGAAGAACCAATTTTATAGCTTTTTAGTGATATTTTATCAAACATATCCACTTTCATCCTGCCTTTATTGACAGTAAAACAAATAGGAGTTGAGTTCTAGAGGTGGCCACACCTGGTCCTTTGCAATGTCAGCCAAGGCTTAGTTTCCAATGGCCTTCCTTTTCAGGCAGGGCTTCCTAGTGTTTGTGCTGTACTGCCATGAATGAATTCTGTCATCAGTTCTCCAAATGTGTATTGAAAGCCTACACTTGACCAGGCTCAGTACAAGAATGACCCCTTAAAAAGGACCAGGCGTAATGGCCCATGCCTGTAATCCCAGCACTTTGGGAGGCTGAGGCAGGCAGATCATGAGGTCAAGAGATCGAGACCATCCTGACAAACATGGTGAAACCTTGTCTCTACTAAAAATACAAAAGTTAGTTGGCGTGGTGGTGCACACCTGGAATCCCAGCTACTCAGGAGGCTGAGGCAGGAGAATCACTTGAAACCAGGAGGTAGAGGTTGCAGTTAGCCAAGACCATGCCACTGTACTAAGGAAAAAAAGTACAGTCTGTGGTGTCAGGGAGCTCGCAACCTATTGGGTAACACTTAGAATGGCTTACAGTGACTTCTTATTCCTCTTTATCTGGGTCTATATATACTGCCTGCTTGAAGTATCTTGCTTTATTCATATTCTCCCTCAAATGGGAGACTGATGAGATAGATCATCTCAGAGCACTGGATACCCTTCAATCGACATGAAGCAAAGATTGAGGTAATGGATGGCTCCTGTCCTGCCTTCTTGCCAAGTGAGAGTTGGCCCAAGGGTCACCAGCACTGTCACTCATATTCCAAGCAACTCTGGCCAGACAAAAGAACAACAGCAACAAAATAAAAGCAAAACACGACAACAGTGATCATACTTTAAATAATTTCAGGCTCATGCAACATTATGAGATTAGCTTATGGTCATTCTGATAGTAGTTTCTTTCACTCATTTCATCTGACTTTTCAACCACAGTTTTACAAGTTGCTTAGATTTCCTGATACGGTTTGTCTGTGTCCCACCCAAATCTCATCTTGAATTCCTACTTGGTGTGGGAAGAACCCGGAGGGAGGTAATCATGAAATTACCATGGGGTGGGTCTTTCTCATGCTGCTCTCCTGACAGTGAATAAGCTTTATGAGATCTGATGGTTTTATAAAGACAATTCCCTCCACAAGCTCTCCCTCTTTGCCTGCTGCCATCCATGTAAGATGTGACTTACTCCTCCTTGCCTTCCACCATGACTGTGAGGCCTCCCCAGCCATGTGGAAGTGAGTACATTAAACCTCTTTCTTTGTAAATTGCCTAGTCTCAGGTATGTCTTTATTAGAAAATAGAGTAATACATTTTCTTTTAGATACTTTCCCAGTATCTTTTTCTCACAAATGCCACAATAGCCTTGGTGTTTCTGTTTTTAAAATTCTATTTAAAATAAACTACTTTTCTCAAGCTTGGCTATCTTATGTGAAAATCATTCCAACTTTTCCATATAGATGGCTAAATCTGGCGTTGGCTCCCTCTGAAGTTTCTCTCTCCTGCACGATTTTTCAGGTGCCCATTACTCATTCTCCTCCTCCTCTGACTCTCTCTAGACTCCTCCCTCTCACTGTCCAGGTTATCACCAAACATCTCCCAAGATCAGTGTAATTTGTGGTGTTGCCATTATGTGTAACATTCCATTGTCCCCTCCACTGATAAATCTTGCTGTTGATCATAGCTGCTTCAGTCAACCACAGAGCAAGTTGTAATCATTTGCAAATGCCCCTGCCAAGTTTGCCAATGCTCTGGAGCCTTGGATGGGCATCAGAATTGTACAGTGTTCTCAAAATGAGACAATGTTTTCTTTCACCATTTATGTTACCCAGTACTAGAAAAACACATACGCAAGCATTGCTGCATGGAAACATGCAGGCTACCGTGGTAACGGGTTTTTGCCTATAGAATCATCCCTTTATGACCCAGAAATAAGTCCCAAGGGAAGTAGGTTCTTCCTTTCTGGAAACTGAGGCCTATTATGGGGCCAAGTTTGTTGATCTGAACTTCTCTGGCTAGATCATGTTATTTTCCAAGAGAAAAACCTCAAGTCTTCATGGTAGGACCCTCCAACAGTCTCTCAAACAAGTATGAATCCCACTGTTGGATACAGATTCAGCTCAACGTGCAATTCTGCTACCTTTCTGAGATTACATTTTTTCCAATCAAGAGGTATATTGGGCAGGTATGAAGCTATTTAATTTTGACAAGGTAGAAAAGAGTTGTGGAGCATGCTCTAAAGATCACAGAAATTTCTGGAATATTAAAATGTCCTACCAATAAAAATTTGACTACAGAAACATTAAAACTTTGTTACAGAAATAAGTATATAAATAAAGTCAAAAGGCAAGTGACAAATGGGAGTTGGGAGGGGAAACAGATAATCAGCAACTTATTTCCTTAATATGAAGATAGCTTTTATAGACTTAAAAAGATGAGCAGCACAGTAGATAAATGAATCAACAGTAGAAACAGACAGCTCAGAGAAAAACAAACACAATAGCCAAGACTTCTATAGAGATGCTTATCTCACTCATAACCAAAATGAATTAAAGTAGTAAGATTCCATTTTTCACCTAAAAGTTTGAAAAAGACTTTTAGGTGAAAACATATACCAAAGGTAAAAGTGAAAGAAACAAGGAGTCTGGCACATTGTTGTAGAAAGAAAAAATTATGACCGTTGTTTGGAAAGGACCTTGGCAATCACCATAAAGGTAATTTAAATTTGTATACCATTAAACCCAGGAAATTTCAGGAATTTATTCAACATATGTGCTTTTCAGTGTATATTTAGAACATGATGTTGCACAGCAGGACAGGGTCAGTTGAGGCCAGGTTTTTATACACGGTGGGAAGGAAGGGAACCTTGGAGCTGATGCTTGAGTGAAATGGAAGTGAGAAATCTGAATGGAGATAGGGAGGCCAGAGCTCCAGGTAAGGAAAGCAAAAAAGGAAAAAGTCCAAAAACCTGGAACAATCTTTTCTTAATGGATATTTAGTTCATTTTGAACTCTTCTAAAGATTACAGATTCTTCTATTGCTTCTTCTAGCATTTGGGGAGGATGTTTTGGTTGGGCATTTAAATCTTTGATTCAAACCAATATATTTTTTGAAAGATAGGAATCTTAGCACTCTTGTGAATGTTTAAATCTATCTGGGCATATGTCCTATTATTTATTTTAGATAACTTCTTAGATGTAGAACAAATGGATTAAAAATATTGACTATTAAAAGATTATTTGGTATATAATATTTTACATATTTATGGGGTTCCTGTGATTTTTCATTACATCCATAGTGTTTTTAATAACCAAGTCAGGGTATATAAGTATCTATCACCTCAAGTATATATCATTTCTATGTGTTGGGAACAATCCAAGTCTTCTACCTACCTTAAAATATATAATACATTGTTGCTAACTGTAGTGACTGTATTTTGAAAGAATTTTGATGCACCTCTTTTCCTAATTGAATATACTTTATTTCTTTTTCTTGCTCGATTGCTCTGGCTAAAACTTCCAATACTATGTGGAATAGGAATGGTGAGAGAGGGCATCTTTGTCTAGTGCCAGTTTTCAAAGGGAAAGCTTCCAGTTTTACCCATTCAGTATGATATTGTCTGTTGGTTTGTCATAAATAGCTTTTATGATTTTGAGATACATTCCATTGATACCTAGTTTATTGAGAGTTTTTAACATAAAGCACTGTTGACTTTTGTCAAAGGCCTTCTCTGTGTCTATTGAGATAATCGTGGTTTTTGTCTTGTGTTCTGTTTATGTGATGGATTACGCTGATAGATTTGCATATGTTGAACCAGACTTGCTTCCCCAGGGTGAAGCCTATTTGATCATGATGGATAAGTTTTTTGATGTACTGTTGCATTCAGTTTGCCAGTATTTTATTAAAAGTTTTTGCATCGATGTTCGTCATGGATACTGGCCTGAAATATTCTTTTTTAGTTGTATGCCTGCCAGGTTTTGATATCAGGATGATGTTGGTATCATAAAATGAGTTAGGGAGGATTCCCTCTTTTTGTATTGTTTGGAATAGTTTCAGAAGGAATGGTACCAGCTCATCTTTGGACATCTGGTAGAATTTGGCTGTGAACCTGTCTGTACCTGGACTTTTTTTGGTTGGTAGGCTATTAATTGCTGCCTCTACTTCAGATCTTATTAGTATATTCAGGGATTCAACTTCTTCCTGGTTTAGTCTTGGGAGGGTTTAAGTTTCCAGGAATTTATCCATTTATTCTAGATTTACCGGATTATGTGCATAGAGTTGTTTGTAGTAATTTCTGATAGTAGTAATTTCTCCTTCATTTCATTCTTATTTCTGTAGAACTGGTGGTGATATTCCCTTTATCATTTTTTACTGCATCTATTTGATTCTTCTATTTTTTTATTAGTCTGTCTAGTGGTCTATTTTGTTGATATTTTTTAAAAAATCAGCTGCTGGATTTATTAATTTTTTGAAGGGTTTTTTTGTGTCTCTGTCTCCTACAGTTCTGCTCTGATCTTAGTTATTTCTTGTCTTCTGCTAGCTTTTGAATTTGTTTGATCTTGCTACTCTAGGTCTTTTAATTTTGATGATAGGGTGTTGAGTTTAGACATTTCCTCACTTTTCATGTGGGCATTTATTGCTATAAATTTCCTTCTAGACACTGCTTTAAATGTGTCCCAGAGATTCTGATATGTTGTTTCTTCATTCTTACTGGTTTTGAAGAACTTCTTTATTTCTGCCTTCATTTCATTATTTATCCAGTAGTCATTCAGGAGCAGGTTGTTTAGTTTGTGTAGTTTTGGGATTTTGAGTGAGTTTTTTAACCCTGAGTTCTAATTCAATTGCACTCTGGTCTGAGAGACTGAGTGTTATGATTTCTATTCTTTTGCATTTGTGAGGAGTGATTTACTTGTTCAGTTTCCAAGTAGTTTTGTGGTTTTGCATGAGTTTCTTAATCCTGAGTTCTAATATAATTGCACTGGGGTCTGAGAGAGTGGTTGTTATGATTTCCATTCTTTTGCATTTGCTAAGGAGTGATTCACTTCCAATTATGTGGTCTATTTTAGAGTAAGTGGAATGTGATGCTGAAAAGAATGTATATTCTGTGGATTTGAGATGGAGAGTTCCGTAGAAGTTTATTAGGTCCACTTGGTCCAGATCTGAGTTCAAGTCCTGGGTATCTTTGTTAATTTTCTGTCTCATTGATCTGCCTAATATTAACAGTGGAGTGTTAAAGTTTCCCACTATGATTGTATGGGAGTCTCAGTCTCTTTGTAGGTCATTAAGAACTTGCTTTATATATCTGGGTGCTACTGTATTATGTGTACATATATTTAGGGTAGTTAGCTTTTGTTGTTCCATTGATACTTTTACCACTGTGCAATGCCCTTCTTTGTCTCTTTTGACCTTTGTTGGTTTAAAGGCTCTATTATCAGACTAGGATTGCAACCCTTGCTTTTTTTTTTTTTTTTGCTCTCCATTTGCTTGGTAAATCTTTCTCTATCCTTTGGAGTTTATGTGTGTCTTTGCACATGAGATGGGTCTCCTGAATACAGCACATTGAAGGGTCTTGACTTCTTATCTAATTTGCCAGTGTGTGTCTTTTGTTGGGGCATTTACCCGTTTACATTTGAGGTTAATATTGTTATGTATAAATTTGATCCTGCCATTTGGATACTAGCTGTTTTTCCCCATTAGTGATGCAGTTTCTTCATTGTGTCGATAGTCTTTATCATTTGGTACATTTTTGCAGTGGCTGGTACCGGTTAACCTTTCCATGTTTAGTGCTTCCTTCAAGAGCTCTTGCAAGTCAGGCCTGGTGGTGATGAAATCTCTCAGCAATTGCTTGTGTGTGAAGGATTTTATTTCCCCTTCATTTATGAAGCTTAGTTTGGCTGGATATAAAATTCTGGTTTGAAAGTTCTTTATGGATGTTGAATATTGGATCCCACTCTCTTCTGGCTTGTGGGGTTTCTGCTGAGAGTTTTGCTGTGAGTCTGATGGGCTTCCCTTTGTGGGTTACTCAACCTTTCCCTCCGGCTGCCCTTAGGCATTTTTTCCTTCATTTCAACCCTGGTGAATCTGACGATTATGTGCCTTGGGGTCTTGGGGTTGCTCTTCTTAAGGACTATCTTTGTGGTATTCTTCGTATTTCCTGGAGTTGAATGTTGGCCTGCCTTGCTAGGTTGGGAAAGTTCTATTGGATAATATCCTGAAGAGTGTTTTCCAGCTTGGGTTCATTCTCCCTGTCACATTCTGGTACACCTATCAAACACAAATTAGGTCTTTTCACATAATCCCATATTTCTTGGAGGCTTTGTTCAATTCTTTTCACTCTTTTTTCTTTAATCTTGCCTGATCATTTTATTTCATTGAGTTTGTCTTCAGTCTCTGATATCCTTTCTTCTGCTTGGTTAATTTGACTATTGAAACTTGTGTATGCTTCGCAAAGTTCTCATGCTGTGTTTTTCAGCTTCATCAAGTCGTTTATGTTCTTCTCTAAGTCGGTTCTTCTAGTCAGCATTTTATCTAACCTTTTCTCAAGGTTCTTAGTCACTTTGCATTGGGTTAGAAAATGTTCCTTTAGCTCAGAGAAGTTTGTTATTACCCACCTTCTGAAGCCTGCTTCTGTCAATTCATCAAACTCGTTCTCCATCCAGTTTTGTTCCCTTGCTGGTGAGGAGATGTGATCCCTTGGAAGAGGAGAGGTGTTCTGGTTTTTGGTGATTTCATCTTTTTTTCACTGGCTTCTTCCCATCTTTGTGGATTTATCTACCTTTTGTCTTTGAAATTGGTGATTTTTAGATGGGGTCTCTGAGTGGACATCCTTTCTGTTGATGTTGAAGCTATTTCTTTCTGTTTTTTAGTTTACCTATTAACAGTCATGCCTCTCTGCTGCAGGACTGCTGGAGGTCCACTCCAGACCCTCCTTGCTTGGGAATCATCTGCAGGGTCTGCAAGACAGTAAGAGTTACTGCCTGTTCCTTCTTCTGGAATGTTCACCCCAGAAGGGTATCCATCAGATGTCAGCCAGAGCTCTCCTTTATGAGGTATATCCTCTTTGGATATACAGGAGTCAGGGAGCCACTGAAGGAGGCAGTCTGTCCCTTATTGGAGCTCAAGTGCTGAGCTGGGAGCTCCACTGTTCTGTTCAGAGCTGCTGGGCAGGGATGTTTAAGTCTGCTGCAGCAGAGCTCACAACCACCTCTTTTTCCCAGGTGCTCTGTCCCAGGAAGGTGGGGCTTTATTTAGAAGTCCCTGATGTGCTGCTGCCTTTTTTCAGAGATGCCCTGCCCAGCAAGGAGGGAGTCTAGTCACAGTCTGCTTGCAGAGGTCTTGCTAAGCTGATGCAGGCTCTGTCCAGCTGCTGTGTAAATGTCCTTGCAGTTTTGTTTACACAGGTGAGATTAGAATTGCCTCACTAATGGCAGACTGCCTCAGTAATGGTGGACTGTCTTAGTAATGGTGGAGTGCCTCAGTAATGACGGACTGCCTTAGTAATGGCAGACACCCATCTCCCCATGGAGCTCCACTTTTCTGGGTGGAACTAAAACTTCTCACTATCTGCAAAACACTCAAGCCAGTGCATTTCAGATTGCTGGTCTTTGTAAGGGTGGCACCCACTGAGCCAGATCACCTGGCTCCCTGCCTTCAGCCCCTCTTTTTCAGGGGAACGTGCAGCTCTGTCTCGCAGACATCCCAGGCACCAGTTAAAATGGCCACCCAGATTTGTGTGGGTTTTTGTGCTGGAAACCCACAACACTTGTCAGCCAGTAGGAATCTCCTGGTCTGTGGGCCATAAAGACTGCAGGAGAAGCACAGTATCTGAACTGGAGTGCCAGAGTGGCCAGAAAAGCCCCCAGTGGCCTCTGTTGGGTAGGAAAGGGGGTCCTCCAGTCTGCTGCACTTCCCAGGTGAGGCAACGCCTTACCCTGACTTGGGTCACCCACCTTGGGCTATACCCACTATCCAACCAGTCCCATTGAGATGCATCTGGTACCTCTGCTGGAAACGTAGCGATCACTCACCCTCTGCATCACTTTCACTGGGAACTGCACTCTGGAGCTGTTCCTATTCAGCCATCTTGGCGGAGCTCCCCTGTTATCTTTTTATTTGGTTATGCTTTATTTTTATCTTTTCATGTTTCTTCATATGTGTCTAGGCATTTTTTCTCTATTATTATGCTGTGATATTCTGTTACATGCAGGTTGATGAAAATTTTATTTTCATTTTTTGGTAATTCCCTCCATTATAACACATCATTCTACCTATGATAAACTTAATATTTTATATTTTAAAATCCACATCTTCTTCAAATATTGCAGCCCAACTTTCTTTACATTTTCACTTCTAGAAAATATTTTATCTTGTAATTGTAGTTTTTCTGAGGCACTGAATTTTAGGTGTGTCTCTTATTGATAGTATATAGTTCCATTTTGGTTTGGGAGTCAATCTGATATGTTTTATGAAATTAACTTTATGCCATTTATAATTATTACCATGTCAAGCATGGTTGGCCTTATTCCTGATACTTTGTTTTACGTGGGTTTTTTAAAATCTTCTAATTGCTTTTTATTTTTGCTTTATTTTTCTTCTCCACTAATTTAATGGTTACATAGTTAGGTTTTATTTTTATTTGTGATAACTTTTAAAGTTATAAAAAACAAAATGTAAGTCCATATTTTTCTAAGTACAATATCAGTTGATTTTTAAAATTTTTTCTCTTTCCAAGATGTCTGTGGTGGCTCACATCCAAAATCCCAGCACTTTGGGAGGCTGAGGTGGGCAGATCATGAGGTCAGGAGTTTGAGACCAGCCTGGCCAACATGGTAAAACCCTGTCTCTACTAAAAATCAGCCAGGTGAGGTGGCAGGCACTTGTAATCCCAGCTACTCAGGAGGCTGAGGCAAGAGAATCCATTGAACCTGAGAGGCGGAGATTGCAGTGAGCCGAACCTGTGCCATTACGCTCCAGCCTGGGTGACAGAGTGAGACTCCATCTCAACAAAACAAAAGAAAACAAATTTCTCTTTCCTATATAGGGTTAAGAAATACACCCTTCCGTTGGGCACTGTGGCCCACACATGTAATCCCAGAACTTTGGGAGACCAAGGCAGGTGGATTGCTTGAGGCCAGGAGTTTCGGACCAGCCTGGCCAACACGGCAAAATGCCATCTCTACTAAAAACACAAAAATTAGTCTGATGTGGTGACACACACCTGTAGTCTCAACTACTCAAGAAGCTGAGGTATGAGAATCACTTGAGCCTGGGAGGCAGAGTGTGCAGTGAGCTGAGATTGGCTCACTGCACCCCAGCCTGGACAATAAAGTGAGGCTCTGTCTCAAAAAAAAAAAAGAGAGAGAGAGAGAAGAAATACACTCATCAAATTCTTTATTTTAGCATGATTTGAGATTGTCATATTTTATTGTCATTGTTGGTTTCTGCTACATTCTATACCTTCTCTTTTTAAAATGTTAACATCTGCATAGTTTTTTCAAATCACATTTATGATATTTATTTAGAACTCATTCTATTTTCAAGTAGTTCCTGCATTTACTGTCATTCCTCTGGCATTGTGACTTCCTGATTATAGTTTATTACTTTAAATTGTATTCCAGTGGATGAAAGTAATGCTTTAAGTAATTTTTTATGATAGAGTATGAAGAACAAATACTACCAGAGTCCTTATGTATCTGGGATTGTTTTCACTGTCTTTATAAATAAAAACCACCTGCTTTGACATGCAGTTAGAAGGAATGAGAATCAAAACCCCCTTAAACACTTTAGGTATTGCTTCATTATTTTTTGGTACATTATATTTTAAGTCTGAGACCAGTTAAATATTTTCCTCCTTTACTGGTAGGTATTTTTTTCCTCCCTGGATTCTCATAGGTCTCTCAAAATTCCAAAGCTTAGCTATGTCTGGATTTTTTTTTTATCAATTTTTGTTAACTTTGTTATGGAGTGGGCCCATTTGACTGCTGGTTCAGACTTTTTCTGGCTTAGGATTGTTCTTTGTTATGCCTCTGAATGCCCCCATCAAGCTGATTCATATCTGTTCACATCATAAGAAACACCAAATTATCAGTGTGGTAGGTCTTCATTAGATATCCTTCAAATCTCTGTCTATGATCTTGTCTTTAATCATATCCCCCTTTTTATCTTCTTTGCTTTAAATTCCTGTGTTAACACCCTGATGTTCAGTGTGATGGTATTTGAAGATGAGGCCTTTGAAAGATACTCAAGTGTAAGTGAAGTCATGAGGATAGGACCCCTATAATGGGATTAGTGTCCTTATAAGTAGAGAAAGAGGGACTCGACCATGTAGGATTTGCAAGTCAGGAAGAGAGCCCTCACCAGGAACCAAATATGCCGGCATCTTGATCTTGGACTTCCCAGACTCCAGAACTGTAAAAAAAAAAAAATGTCTATTGTTTCAGCTACCCAGTCTATCATGTTTTGACAGTTTCAGTAGACAAAGACAGAGCCCCAAAATCTTGATATACATATCATTGATCAATTTTCATTGAAATCCATTCCACTCTATATCATCTCACATTATTTTTAGTTCTGCTAGTTGCATATTAGCAGCTCTAGTTTTACATTTCCTTGAATACTTTCCTCAGCACTACCAGATCCTTCTTCACTAAAATCTGTTATTTTATCTCTTTTCATTTTCCAAAGAGGCCCCATTTTCTTTCATTAACTTGAGAGTACAAAGCAAATGCTGTCTAAAGCTTATTTTCTTGCTTGCAGTACATATTTTAAAAATATGTTCTTCCTGTTTAGCTTGCCATAATTATCTCATTCTTTTATAATGTAAAAATTTTCCCCCATATCTCATTTATTCCATTTTCATTTTATTCTTAATCAGAGCAGTATTTCTTATACCTGACATTTGTTCAAAAATAGTGTGGGTAGATCTGCCTATGCAACCTTCACAATTCATCTAATTGAAACTAGAATTCTCTTCTTAGACACAGAATCCTTGGTGGTGGGGGGAAATCTCACTTTTTCCATTGCCATTTTTATCCTTAATAAAACTAGTCATTCTTATATCTGATCTTTGCTTTGTATATATCTGATCTATACAAATAGTATGGTCATATCTTCTTGTAGGTCTCTTACAACATACCTAGGTACCTGCTAATCCTCCTCTTAGATATTATTCTAAGGTTTTTAATCTAGTTTTGAATTAATCTAGAGTCCATAATATAGTTTTAATAACTTCAAATATTCAGGAGCCTAAGACAGTGGAAAATGAACTAGGCTGAAGGAGTAAGTTTCTTCATGCTTTTCCTCTGTGTATCTTAACTTTTGCATCTCTATATCTGTATCTAATTATCTCTTTGTTCTGGTGTCTACTTCTGCTACATGGACTAACTGCATCTAACCTTATTTCTAGTGTTTCTATCTGTTGAGTTGGAGAGTGCTATTTTCATTCACCCTCTAATTACTGAATCTTCAAGGGAAGCATCCTACTGTTCAGACACTTCCTGTTTACCATAGCAGAGATTGCCTTTCTAGTCTAGGGGCTAACACCCCTGAATGTCTGTATCTGTGAAGCTAAAATTGGCTTAAAGTGATGTGAACCTTGGTTTTTCCATGGTACACCTGATCTCTATTCCTGGGCCCTCAAAAGGAGGTGTATTTATGATCTTCTTCCAGGACTCTATATACTTCCTAGAATTCTTTCTAGAATCACCATTTCATTGGGGAAAGGGAATTATCAACACCCTTCATGACTTCCTTCAACATCATACCAGGCAGATCACACTTAGCAGAGATTTCTCAGGGATCTTGTCATGTGGTTGGCACTATTCTCTAATTTCAGCACCAATACAAGTTTTTCCCTGTATACATTTGTTTTTAGTCATCACAGGTAGTTTCTATAAGAAGAGATTTTTTTGCTTGCTCTTATATTGATATTTTTTCCAGAAACTCACTAGCTCTTTTGAATATATATGTGATACATCAATCATAGTGATAGGTAGTCAAAGACAAATAAAGGACTGTCCTTTTCCTGAGGCTACTTATTTTTCACATGGCCAGAGTAAGATCTGGATCAGTCAGCTCACTTATACTTGGTACATCTTCTCAATTTCTGTTTATAAACTTAGCCACCAGCCAAGATTTGACTGAGTTGTCAGGAATCAATCAGAAAGACATGCGACCAGAGGAGAGTTTCCAGAATCAAAGTGAACAGAAATAGTCCAGGCTGTTCTTTTGAAAAGAATTAAAAAAGAGCAAAGAAGTCAGAGAGCTTCCTCGCAAGTGGTATCAATATATCTGAGATGTGAAGTATGAAATAGACTTAAAAAGGGAATTCACATGGAGAAGGAAATTAGTGAATGAAAAATTAAAAAGCAGGAACTACAGACACTCTAAGGTCATTTGAATTTTGAAATCTCTGATGTAAACACTGAGAACTTCCCAATTAACTTCCCTGAAATCTTCAGACTGTGTTTCAGGTCCAAACTTTAGTCTTTATTTCAACTGTTTTAAACTAACAAATGACCATTGATCATTCTTATGAAAATTAATGGTCTTATAGAACAATGCAGTAGTGAGTGTAGTGTTTTACGGGAGAACAGTGTTCTATTTTGACTGCTAATGCACATTTGTTTTTGTTTGGCTTGACTACTCTTGCCTTAAAGTCCTAAGGAAGACTTGAAAAGGGTGAAGCTAGATAAAAACTTTAAACACTTTCATTTATTACCATCTGAAAAAAAAAAGTGATTCTATCAAGGTCAAACAGATCTCTTTGTAATTATGAAAACAATTTTTTAATTGCCTCATTAAGTTTGTTTGTTAAGTATAGAAGACATATAAAGCAAGCAAAGACAAAAGCAGCTTACATTCTCAGATAAAGTTATTTCAACATCAAGTAGTCTAGTTGACTGAAAAGGGAGAAAGCAAAATAAATCAATATCAGAGGTATGATGCTTATTCTGTTTTATGTCTCAATTACTCATGAAATAAGGTTTTTGTATGTTTTATAATTATTTACTGGATTTCAGATATTGTGACTTTTACCATTTAGGTAAAATATGTTTCTTATAAATATTCTTGAGCTTTGTTGAGAGATGCAGGTTAACTTACTTGGAAATAGTTTGATCCTTTGAGGTATTATATTATTATTTGCTAGGTGATAGAAGAGCAATGTTTAGTCTAGGCCTGATTGAAAAGCCTATTTATTGAAAAGCCTATTGTTATTACCCTATCCAATGTCCCATACATTATTTGTTTTTCTAGTATGGCTGATGTGAGTGGGGCTAATTCTGAGGCTTGTGTGAGCTCCAGGGCACTCTTTTTAGTGGTTCTTTCCCCAGCCTTGAATTATTTCCTCATATGCATGCACTGATCAGTTTTCTGCTGAATATTCAAAGAGGACCCTCTATAGATCTCTAAGGTTCCCTGTGTGCAACTCTTTTCTCTCTTATACTCTGTCCTGCAAATCACAGATGCCTTATTCGGTAACTTGCAGCCCAGGATGTTCAACTCAGAGAACTTTTCTAGTTTCCTCCTCCTTGCTCCATGGAATAAAATCTCTTTCAAGGCAGTATTTGAGGCAAGAGTAGAAGGCACTTTGCTTGTTTCTTATCTCTTGAGGATCACATTCTGCTTATATGATCAGAGATTTCATTCATTGCCTGATGCCTAAAGTCTTGAAAACTGTTGCTTTGTGTATTTTTGTCTGAGTTTTTAGTCGTTTCAGACAGGATGGTAAATCTGGTCCCTGTTTTTTAATCTTGGCCAAAACAGTAGTCTCCAGTGAAAGGTTTTCGAAATCTCATACATGAGTTTCAGAATAGTGAATGTGGATACCCAATCTTCAGTACCCTCTGATGGGCATTGAGAGGCCTAAAGATTTAGATCTGCTTCTACCATAAGGGGCCTATTGTTTTTTAAGACTCCAAGGCCAGCTTTTGACTTAATGTAGAGGGCCTGGGGGCACATCACCCAGAACTCTTGCTCTCTTTATAATAAGCCCCACTGTGTGCCTCAGTTCCTTGGTGCTGCAAATGGAAGCTACTCAATGGTTGGAAACAGGAGAGAGGTAAAGAGTTCCTTTCTTTTTCCCTCTTAAAACAAAAAAGAGTTTCTTATTTTTTTCAGACTGAGTTTCACTCTTGTTTCCTAGGTTGGAATGCAATGGCATGATCTCAGCTCACTGCAATCTCCACCACCGGGGTTCAAGCAATTCTCCTGCCTAAGCCTCTCAAGTAGCTAGGATTACAGGTGCATGCCACCAGGCCTGGTTAATTTTTTTGAATTTTTACTAGAGACAGGGTTTCACCATGTTGGCCAGGCTAGTCTCAAACTCCTGACATTGGGTAATCCACTGGCCTCGGCCTCCCAAAGGAGGTGCTGGGATTACAGATGTGAGCCACTGTGCCCAGCCTCTTTCTTTTCTTTATATATTTTTAAGAATTACCACCGACTCACATCTGCTAGGGAAAATCAAGGGAAGGGCTTATGTTCACACTCAGGTTAGGGACCATAAAGGGTCCTCAGTATACCCTTGAAGAAAAGCATTAAAACAACAGCGCAGTGAAAATGCCTCCCACCAAAAGATAAAATTCAGAAGGAAAGGATCAGCGTTGTCTGGTCTAGCCATCATACCTGCTCTCTAACCATTTGAAAGTCTCTGCTTTCAAAGCTAAGATCTTGGTAGATGTAATTTTAATTTTGGTCATGTAAGTGGTTTCCTGTATGTCTTTCACCCCAACTAAACACAATCACTGCCTCTTTCACCAAGGGGCAAGTCAGCACTGACCCTGGGATAGCAGAGCCCTGAGCAGGAATGGGGGTGGGAGGGGAATGGAGTGAGAATAAGTTGATAGTAAATGTAATGGAGAAGAATTCAAGGAAGCAGCAAAATAGTATTTATCAAGGACAGGCTTTGTGACAGGCACTTAACATTTAAGCTATTTTTAACTGTTATTGTGAGAATCAGAAATAGTATAAGGCACTGTGCTAGCACTATTTCTGATTCTCACAACATTTAAACAGAGCTTTTATGCTCTTCTCTTACAGATGAGGAAACTAAGATTCAGTGTTAAATGACTTTCTCCAAGTGATACAGTGAGTAGATGATATAAATATATATTGAAGTTACGGCCATTCTGATTCCAAAACCTATGCCCACTGCATTATAATACCACACTCTCCCTCTCCGAAGGAAGACAGAGCTCTGGCAGTGAATGGGGAAAAAAAATTAACTGAGCCTCAAAAGCATAACGAGACCAAAATCCTACATCCTTTGCTTCTGCCAACACTAATAAATGGCTTTCACTGCTAGTCCCCATCTTCATACAATTATTAATCTTTTTAGGGCTTCTCTTAGTATTTAAAAATTATCTTGACCTCCCTAGAGAGGGTAGAGGAGTGAAACAAAAATACATTAGCCACAGGCAAGAAAAGCAGAAATATATTTAAAAAAAAACAAAAACTACCTTGGGAGGCCAAGACAGGCAGATCATCTGAGGTCAGGAGTTCAAGACCAGCCTGGCCAACATGGTGAAACCCCATCCCTACTAAAAATATAAAAAGTATCTGGCCATGGTGGTATGCACCTGTAGTCCCAGCTACTCAGAAGACTACAGCATGAGAACCTATTGCACCCGAGAGGTGGAGGTTACAGTGAGCTGAGATCATACCACTGCACTCCAGCCTGGGAGACAGAGTGAGACTTGGTCTGAAGACTTAAAAAAAAAAAAAAAGCAAAAAGCAACTATGCACATCTGACCAGGGGGATTTCTGCTGTTTGTCCAGCCTATTAAAATGATAAACTGTCCCCTCATTTTTTTTGGTTCTCTAATAAATATATTTAACAACACTACTGTTATCACTTTGTAAACTCTGGAATGGAAGTGTGCTCAGTTTGCATAGAATAAATAGGAAAGTTATGTAAAATTTCCTACTCTGCTATAAATCAATAAATGACAGCCGGCACAGTGGCTCATGCCTGTAATCCCAACAATCTGGGAGGCCAAAGCAGAAGGATCATTTGAGACCAGGAGTTTGAGATCAGCATGGGCAACATGGTAAAACTCTGTCTCTACCAAAAATACAAGAATAAACCAGGCATGGTGGTGCATGCCTGTGGTTCCAGCTACTCAGGAGGCTAAGGTGGGAGGATTGCTTGAACCCAGGAAGTGGAGGTCGCAGTGAGTTGAGTTCATGCCACTGCACTCTAGCCTGAGCAACAGAGTGAGACCTTGTCTCAAAAAACAAAAAATGAAAGAAAAAAAAGTAAAAGAGCAAATGTATAATCTTTTTATTTATACATCTCAAGAAGCTAAAACTAAAGTATCTCAATTCTGAATCCCCTGTATATCAGCGTTCAGACTGGAAATCAGGAGAAAAACAGAACATCAAGTTATCTGGTAGCAAAAATATCATGTAAAAGCTCCCAAAATGCTAATGTGCTGATCAAATACAAGACACCATCATTGTTATGAGCAAGGACTAAAAGGCAAGCACTAGAAGGATAATAGGAAAAATGTGCTTCCAGGAATTTAATAAACAACACAAACATATGAAAATAGGCAAAATCTGTTATTTCAAATAGCAAGTTTTTAATTTTCAATTTATCTTTGCCTTCCCTGTGCTTATTATTGTAACCACATGCTCTTTCATACACCCACACCAATCTGCAGGTGTGTGAGTGTGCATGCATACACAGAGAAATTGGTTCTTCTGTTGCTAGTTTTTTCTTCCCCCCAGCCAAAGAAAATTGTCTGACAAAATAAATAGGTTTGAATACAGTATGTTAAGACATCATTCTAGTACCCAGGCCATCCTTCAAACATTACATAAACAGCTCCATTCACCAATTTTCTGACCTGTGAGGCATCTTAATCTCTCCAGAGTTTTGGAGATAAAGGTTCTATTGCACAATAAATGAGCTCTGTAACAGAATGTAAGATCTGGCGTGTGCTCAGAGGGCAAGAAGAAATTCTAGCAGAGCATTGACACCATCAGTCAGATGTTATCCAAGGGCCACACAACAAAAACCGTATTGCATTTTACTTAATGCTCATTATGACTCAGAACACAAAGTAAGTACCTCCTTAACGTATCTTGGGACTATGTTAATTCCACTGAGTGTTAATATTCTGTTGATTTCAGTTGGATTGGTTGTCTTAAACTCATACTAAAAAACCTCTTCCTTAATTCTAGATTTGAGTATCTAGAATGACTCTTTCAGTTTGCTTCTTCATGTTTTTATTCCTTTTCTGTAATAACTAAGATGATCCATCCCAATGAGAAGTGCTTTTCCAAGAAATCAGAAATGATCTTTGTAGTGGAGCGATCAGCCTCAAGCAGCTTGCTGTATGCCACATGGAGTTTGTCTGTGGTTTTACCCACAGCAATACATACAACTATGTACATGATGGTTTTTTAAAAAAGTTGTAAGATCGTGAGAACCATACAGATGCTGACTGGATGCCTATAAGAATGACAGATACATTAGCTTGGGGTTTGCCGTTTTCAGTGAGGTCTGAGTTTCAAGAAAGAAGAAATTTATTTTCCACATGTGCTCATCCAATAAATGTATATTGAGCATCTTCTATGTGCCAGGTTCTGTGTTAGGAAACCAATGAATAAGTCAAACAAAGTCTCTGCCTTCATAAGCTGGTGGGAGAGACAGGTAACAACAAGGAAAGATAAATGATAATGTCAGGTAATAATGATTTACAAAGAAAATAAAATAGGTTCAAGGCATACAAAGTGACAGCACAGAGTGAGTCCTATTATATATGCCATGATTAGGGAAGGCCCCCTCAAGGACATGACATCTGAGCAAAAACTTAAACAATGTGAAACAGAGTCTTAGTGAAAACAGTGTTACAAGCAGAGGAGAGGGCAAGGAGAATGGCTCAGAGATGCAAATGGGCTTGGCATGTTCAAGAAATGACAGAAACACTGATGAGTGGCTGGAACCCATGACGTTCATGGTGAAGAAAGGGGACAGGAATAAAGAGCTAGGCAGGGGCCAGGTGACGTACATACTGTGAGAAATGCAAAAGCACAGATGCAAAGATATTGAGCTGTTCTGAACCTGAGGCATGCTCTGAAAAGATTCTCTGGCTGTGTTGTGAATAGACCTGAGGAAGGCAAGAGTAGGAACAAGGACCCATGGGGTGGCTGCAGCAGGGCTGCAGATGAGAACCGGTATGACTTGGACAAGAGCAGAAGAGTAGAATTAATTCTGCTGAGCGCAGTGGCTCATGCCTGTAATCCCAACACTTTGGGAGGCCAAGGTGGGCGGATCACAAGGTCAGGAGTTCGAAACCAGCCTAGCCAATATGGTGAAACTGCATCTCCACTAAAAATACAAAAATTAGCCAGGCATGATGGCATATGCCTGTAGTCCCAGCTACTCAGGAGGCTGAGGCAAGAGAATTGCTTGAACCTAGGAGGCAGAGGTTGCAGTGAGGCAAGATCATGCTACTGCACTCCAGCCTGGGTGACAGAGTGAATGAAACTCAGTCTCAAAAAAAAAAAAAATTGAATTAATTCTTCTCTTTTCAGCATGTTCAGCTTGAATGACTGTTAAGAAACGAAGTGAAAACAATTGGATCTACCAGTCAGGGCCAAGAGCATGACTCTGACTCAGCTCAGGAGAGAACGGCAGGAGTGGTCATTTATGGGACTATATGAGATCCCGAAGAAAAAATCTGTGTAGGGAGAGGAAAGAAGACTCCAATATCCAGGGTGTCAAGAAGATGCAAAGCCAGAGAAGGAAATCAGGAAGTAGAAGAAACTAGGTAAGCGCGTGGTGTCCTAGAAGACATGTAATTGTGTTTTAAGAAGTAAAATAATCAACTATTATAAATGCCACCAAAGTGATGAGGGAAATGGGACTGAGACTTAACCTGTAGATTTTAGTATGTAGGCCAATTTAAATCTAAAATACATTTTCAGAAAGCTATTTTATCTGGTAGCTATTTTATGAGATTTCCAAAAAGTCGATTTTCTGAATGAATCAAATTGCCAATTATATATAATTGTTAGAACTGTTTAAGAAATTTAACAGCTTGAGCAAAAATGTTCTATTTTTATTACCAATAATGAAGTATTTTAAAAAGTATGTTTCATTAGTAAGAATCAAAAATTCATTGTTTCATTTTGCTTTTAGTTTATAATTTTTTAAAATGTTATTTTATTGTGAAAAGAACAGTTAACTTTTTAAGTGTACAATACACAATTGCGGACTATAGGTACAAGTTGCATAGCAGATTTCTAGAGCTTATTCATTTGCCTAACTGAAACTTTGTGCCCCTTAATTGACAACTCCCTATTTCTCCTTTCCACAGCCTCTGGCAACCACCATTTCACTCTGATTCAATGAATTTTGAGCACTTTATATGACTCAATAGGTGGAAATATGCAGTATTTGGCTTTCTATGCCTGGCTTATTTCACTTAGCATAATGTCCTCAAGGTTCATCCATGTTATATTATAGAGTTTTCTTCTTTTATAAAGACTGAATGAAATATAATAAATTTTACTACAGGATTATTTGAAATAATTCTAACTCATTCAAACACTGTCTAATATTAATTTACAATTTAATTTAAAATGTCAATTCAGGTAATTACATTCATATAATATTGATTCAAATAATCATGATATTGATTCAAATAATCAGATACTTATAATTTAAATGTTTAATTTCAAATTAAATTTTGATTAAATTTAAATCTGTTTTTTTGAATTAAACTTTTTTTTTTTTTTGAGACGGAGTTTCGCTGTTGTTACCCAGGCTGGAGTGCGATGGCGCGATCTCGGCTCACCGCAACCTCCGCCTCCTGGGTTCAGGCAATTCTCCTGCCTCAGCATCCTGAGTAGCTGGGATTACAGGCATGAGCCACCATGCCCAGCTAACTTTTTGTATCTTTAGTAGAGATGGGGTTTCAGCATGTTGACCAGGATGGTCTTGATCTCTCCACCTCGTGATCCACCCGCCTCAGCCTCCCAAAGTGCTGGGATTACAGGCTTGAGCCACCGCGCCCAGCCGAATTAAACTTTATTGAAAATTAATTTTAAATTCATGATTACTGAAAGTAGAATATTATTTTTCTTTTTGAAATTCTGTATTTCAAAAAGAATACAAAATAGTGAAATCTTGAACAAATAGAAAATGGTATTTAAAAACCTGTAAAAGATATTGGAATTAGCCCAAATAATCCAGACAAACATAAAGTGCTTCTAATAATTGTGATGTAAGTAATTGATAGAAGTTTGCAGAAACATGAAAAAGAAATTAAAGGGTAAAATCCAGTAAGCAGTGAGGGTAACTAAGTAACCTAGGAAGGGTTCTATTCTGGACCTGTAAATCTGGATTGTTAAGAAAATAACAAATGTGTCAAAACAAACACCTCAAATATTAAATTCTAGACACTAACTAAAACTACAAATCTGAAGTTGACAGCTACCAGAGGGAAAACACAAAAAGAATATTAAGAAAGTAAAAAGTTTTACAGAAAACAAAACAAAACTACAAAAAAAAAGAAAGTAAAAAGTTTGGAAAGAAAAACAGAGGTTGACACAAATATTTAAATTTAAATGTTACTTAAAAGCATCCAAAAATCATTTTACATTAAATGGTATAAACCAACAGTTATTTTAATCTCAATTTAAATTTTCAATTCAAAAGCATGTCAAGTATGTCAGAATCAAAACGGAAGTTTGGTATCTCAAGCATCAGTGTAAGTGGCAGTAGTTGCTGTTTTCTATTTCAAATTCTCAAGAGAAAAACCTCAACAAACTCCAGTTCGTCTATTCAAACCAAGTCACATGAATAATAAGTAACTGTCCAGCCAACAGAATAGCTTTTCTTGGGGTCAGGGACCCTCCCTGTCATCTATGGCTGGGGAAGGACAGGGAGAAAAGGTGTGGGGCAGGCACCAAGGGGCAGGAGTTCAGAGATTGGTCTCTTAGCCAGACTCCAGGGTCCAGTCCTTGGATCTTTTATTTATAAACTCTGTCTTCTTGGAAAAAAATATTTAAATCTTTCTGTGTCTCAGCTTTCTCATCTGTAAGGGGACTAACAGTAATATGTACTTTAGAGAACTGTGGGGATTAGTGAAATAATGGGCGAAATGTGTCTAAAATAGTAGTTGGTACACAGTAAACTAATCAAGTAACCAAAGCTATTATTGCAGGTATGAGAGGAAAGTTAATCTGGTTGCTCTGAGAATAATTTCGGTCCATATCGTGTTTCAACTACTAGATTGCAAGGTCCCTGAACATGGGATTTATGTTCTATTGTTGATAACTTTATTCACCCCTTAGTTTCTAGCTGTGGCTCTAAGAGGTGTCCAATAGACGAGTTTGTGGAATTGAGTTGATTTAAAGAGAGGATTGATGGGATTTGGTGACATTGAGAATGTAAAGAAAGGGAAGAGAAGGTTCAAATATACTTTAAGTTTTGAGAGTGTACAGTTGAAGGAACGCATTGAAGGAACGTGGCTACCATCTACAAAAAGAGGAAAATTCGGAGGAGGTGGGAGTAAGAAAATGAGTTAAATTTTAGAAATTTTGAGTTTGGTGGTGCATTTAGGTGCAAATGTCTAGCAGATAGTTAGAAATGTGAGATTGAGTTTGGAAGGTAAGACGGTGCTATAAATACAAATCTGAGAGCCAGCTGCCTAGATGTGTGAGTTAAAGTTATGGGAGGGGATGAAATGACTGAGAGAGAGAACCTAGGAAGCAAAGGAGGAAGAAAAGTGGTGGCTAGAGCAGAAACTGAGAAAGGCAAAGTGGGTAGAGAGGTTTACGAAGTCAGGATATGGAAGGAAAAAGACGGGATTGCACTGAGCATACAAGTAGAGCAGTGACTTTTGGAAACCTAATGAGACACCACTTCCATGACTTGTTACCAATTGCATTTCATACACAAACATTTCCAAGCTTCCAAAAAACAACATAGTCATGAAACATTTCTGCCTTCATCAACTTTCTATGGAATCACCTCAACAGAAACTAAGATAACAGTTATTTTTCTCCCCTTTCCTCAGTATGTGCTAGAGGAATTAACATTGAAATTCTGAAATGATTTATTTCACACACTTGACTAGAGCTGAAGTGGGAATTGACATTCTTGCAAAGTAATAGTAAAATCTGATCTCAAATAGAGTATATTTTATTTCTGCCCTCAGCAGGAATTTACTGTTTGTTAAGGTTTATATTTTTTAAGCCATGATTTTGTTTTGTTTTGTTTAACTTCATATCTTCAGTAACTTAATTTGGGCTTGACAGAGACTTTCTTCTGAGGTGAGTGACATAGTAATAGCCAGAATATTAATTGGCATGTTCAGGCAGGGGTGAAAAACTATCTGAGGATAATTTATATTGGAAGTACAGGAAAATTGTACTTAAGAATCCAGAAGCACAAGATAAAAGTGATTTTTGTTTTCAGACTCTCAGCAATTGTTGAAGTAAACCATGTGAAGAATTTTGGGGTGCCTAGTTTCTGACTATGCAGATAGCCTCCAATAAATATTAAGAAGCTTGTATTGAATGGCTGCTTTACCTAAGAAATAGCAGATATTTCACAAAGGCCTTTTTAAAATGTGAATCCACTGAAAAGAAAGACTTAAAACAAAAATCACTTTTATCTTGTGCTTCTGGATTCTTAAGTACAGTAAGGTTTGCTTGGAACTATATACTGAAAAAAGAAACTCAAATTATAGAAATTGCTGTATTATCTCTTATATTTAACAGATTTATTTTATTGTAACTGTAACTGTGCACTAATTCTTAGAAATAAATCAAGTGTTTGAGCCTGATGTTTTTCAAGCAAGAGTATACTAATTATTTTATACTTGGCTCTTCTAAGTTGATAATAAAGGGACATGTTTCATGAAAAAAAATGAGAGCTCCTTTGGTTTTCTCAAGGGTCTTTTAATTCTTTTGTATTCAAATAATTATTTTTAAATCCATTACTTCATCTTCATTTCTCTTCAATTGTCAAATAGCCTAAGTTTACTATATTTTCAACTATCAGTGACTTTTCATTTTACTAACCACTTTTATTGATTTCATAAACTCTAAACTCCTTTCACTAAGATATGAGATTTCATTTTTCAATTGCTTTCTACTGTGTTTGCATTTGAATTTCCAGATGCTTACAGTATCTGACATTCAACATGTCTCTTCTAAACAGATATTTTTACAATGGATGCGGAGGGTTGCTTGTGTTGTGTTCAGGAAGATGCAAGAAACGGAACTCATAGAACTTCAATTCAATAGAGGAATGTTTTCACGTAATGACAACTTCTGCTATCTCTGCAACGTGTAACGATAGGAGCTTGAATCATTAATACTGGATTCCACAAACCCTCAAGGCTGTTTTTTCAGGTTGAATCATCTCTGCCTCTTACCACAGAGAACTGGCATGAAAGCACAGAACAAACATCTACAATGTACTTCAAGGTGAATATTGAAGAAGGGACTATTTTTGTATATTTCCATGTTCAACATAAACATGTCAGCTGAAAGTAAATTATCACTTTTTAAATTAGGAGTAATACAGAAGTAATGTTTACTAAGTGATTCTTATGGCCCAACAATGTTTTATTTGCCTTAATTCTACTTTATTTAATTCCCACATAACCCTATAAGACAGGTATGTTATTATCTCCATTTAACACATGATAAAAGAGAGGCCTTGAATGGCTCGAAAAAAAACTTGTTCAAGGTTACAAAGTTAGTTTAAAATAAAACGGAGATATACAAACGACCTGGTTTATGTAAGAAAGATTATACAGTTTTGATGCAATGGCATATACAGAATCCTAGATCCTTTTCAGGATGGTCTAATTACTAGGCTACTTAAGCGCTGACTCACAAACAGGGATAGTTTGCTAATGGTGTTTACAGATGAAAATACCAGTGTAAGTAATCTTAACCCTAGCAAGCCTAAAATGAGCACTTTAAATACACACAGGGATTAGTGTATAAGAGAATGACAGATTTCTAAGAGCATGCAAAAAACATTACCCACCAGTGCAGAAACCCTCTCATTAATAAACCTTCCAACACATTTTTGTGCACCAAATAAGCTATGGATTTGTGTTTCAAATTCAGACTAGTTTTTATTCTATGGAGTAGCCACTGAGGAAGGGAAGAATTCTGAATAATCTTTTGAAACTGGAGGTTAAACACCGATTCCTTGGAATCACATGTTATCTAGGAGGCTATAACTAATGACACAGTTGTACTGCCTCATTTATCCAGAAGGCAATGCATTTGGCATTGCGATTTTCTTGGCTACTTGAATGGGCTATCAATAACTAGTAGCTTGCATGACCTTTAATTATTATAAATAGTGAAAATACAAGCAAATGAAGCCAAAATCAGTAGCAGACGGATATAGATCTTCATTTGTAATCATGATCACTAATAACCATTATGAGAAACAGATATTAGCATATGATAGTAACTAATAAATAAACTGAGTTTAAGCATATTTTGAGCACCAATCACAATTATTTAAATGACTCCTTGTATAATACCAATGCAAACAAATCCATCCCCTTAAAATCCACTGATAAGTTGTTTTGAATAATAGGCTAAGAATCTCTAACATACTAATTGTTCTTTAAATGTTCTAAACATTTCAAAGATTCATATTTTTTTTTTAGATGGATTCTAACTCTGTCACCCAGGCTGGAGTGCAGTGGCATGGTCTCAGCTCACTGTAACCTCCGCCTCCCGGGTTCAAGCAATTCTCTGCCTCAGCCTCCTGAGTAGCTGGAATTACAGGTGCCCACTACCATGCCTAGCTAATTTTTGTATTTTTAGTAGAGATGGGGTTTCACCATGTTGCCCAGGCTGCTTTTGATCTCCTAACCTCAAGTGATCTGCCCACCTCAGCCTCCCAAAGTGCTGGGATTACTGTCGTGAGCCACTGTGCCTGGCTGAGTCACACTTTTTAGTCCTCCTATGCTTATCAAGCCTACTAATCTAACTCTAAAACAAACAAACAAATGAGTAAGCAAAAGCCTAGCAAGCCTGCCAGCCTCCCTGGATACCATCGCAGTGTTCTGGGATCTTTTCTCAAGGAGGCCTTTCAGATGGTCACTCAGTGACCATCCATGAGGTCAACAGTCAGAAAAGATGGATCAATTCCAATAGAGAAAATGGTATAGGTACTCTACAAATGTCTTCTTCAATTGTCTTTGAATCCATCTCAGTTTTCTTAGCTCTAAAATGGGGATAATGATAGAACCTCCTTTACTTTGAGGAATAAATAAGTTAATACAGGTACAACACTTAGAAGGGTGTCTGACACATACTAGACATTCAATACACATGATCTATATTTTTTATTGTTATCTACTTTTGTATCCGTAAGTTGTTCTAAATCTCCAGTGATTTAGTCATATGAATACTTCAGTATGTTAAAGTTTTCTCATAAAATCTACCTAGTTGATCTTGAAAATATTCAAAAACTGTGTAAGTAACTGCAAGTTAAGAGCCAGAGGTCTGTAAGTCACACAAGAAAAATCTCTTTATTACTTTATGGTCACACTATAGATACAAGCATGTTAGGATAAGAATCCAAATGTATAACTCTACATATTCACCTATGAATGGATTCCACAGACATTATGGTTGGAATCTATTTTGGTTTTAACAATAAGGAACACCAAAAGACATGTAAAAAGTGAGTAATCAACAAATCAACACATTAGAGGCCGAGAGACTGTTACAGAATAAAATTCATAGTATTGCATCACATAGAAGAATGTTGATTCTCACTAGATTCTGAATAAATATTTTTGAGTTGAAATACTCTGAAGATACCAGACTATAAAACCTTTAGAGGCTCAATAACTGTTAGCAATTGTTACTGACCTTCATATTTGATATCTGTAACATCTACCAGAGTTCCTAACACAAAAGCTCAAGAAGAACTTGCATTGCAAGAGAGAATATATAAATAAAGAAATGAATGAATCAAGTCAATGTTTTGGACATGAGCATCTCTGCTCTGCCCTTCCTCAGTCTAGGTCTCATTTCTTCTCCCTACTTGTGTGTGTCCTCTTGGTGACTGCTTCCTCCTTCTACCTCAGTTTTACTTTAACTGCTCTATCTGGGGTGTCATTTCTTCTCCTCTTTTAAATCTCCCCTGAACTGAAGACATTAACAAATTGACAGGCTTCAGGTTAAAAAGGAAGATTAAATACACATTTGTAAGCTCATTTTCTTTTCTAAACTCCTCTAAAATAGAAGTATAGAATTTTTTAAAGGCATAAATCCTCAAAGACAAACAGAACAAGAGAGGAAACCACAGCAACAAAATTTTAGAAACTAGAAGTTAGATGGATAAGCAGTAAATGATTTAGCAAACCTGACACATTTAAAACCCAGACTGGTTGGGGAGGGAGGCCCAAAAGCTAGCCAGCACATACCTCAAATTCCAGAAGTGTTCAGAAATTAAAGTTACCTGGTACCTCTTAAAGGAGGGTGAAGGCAGAGGTGATTGGTTGAAAATCTGTTTAAAAAGAAGTTAGATACCATCTCCAATCTCAGAAAAAGCTAGAAAATTTTCTCTCTAAATAGGATGAACTGGGGGGAGTTTCTATGGTGTACTAGGCATAGGGGCAGGGCTACCAAACTGAATATTGCTAGATTAAGTGAAAAATCTACTCACAGAATGGTGATATTCCCATCGCCTTTCCCAACTCAGATCCCAGAACAGAGTCAATCAGAGTTGTACCTTCCAGACAGGTCACTGAAAATCTTATGCAAGGAAATACAATCAACCCAAGACAAACAAGAAAGATAGTGATAGGAAAATGATTCCCACAGCAAAATGGTTCAATCTATCAGGAAAAAGAAATGCTAAGAAACAGACATTGCAGAGAGAAGAAAAATCAAAAATCCGTATTTTTCAAAAAGATGAAAGATAATACAACCATGAAAAAATAGGATATTACAAATATGGAATATTCTGGGACAAAAGAGAGTTTTGGAATTTAAAAATGCAATAGCAGAAAGGTTAAAAAAAAAAAAAAAAAAAGCAGCCTTCCAGAGAAGGGAGAAAGCAAAGTTGCAGAAATTACTCAGGAAGTAACTCAAAAAGACAGAGCTTGGAAATGCAACAAAAGAGAAGCAGTAAGAAAATTAGAGAAGTAGCCAAGGAGGCCGAACATGTGAATAATGGGAATTCCAGGAACAGAAAACAAAGAAAAATTAATAAACATATAAAATCAAATGAGTCAGGAAAAAATTTCCAGAACTGAAATTTAAAAATTTTCAGATTGAAAAGTCCACTGATGCCCAGCACAAGAGACAAGAGAAAATCCAAAGAAGAACCTTCCCAGTGAAATTCCAGAATAAAAGGAAAAAGAAGATTCCCCAGAGTTCACTCCTTAAAAGCAACTCCTAGCCAAAGAGGAACCAGAATGACTCAATGCAATCTTGAAAGATAGGAGACAATGGAACAATGATTTAAACATTCTCAAGAAAAACTATTCCCAATCTAATTTTCCCTAGAAAGGAAAATTATTAATTGTGAGGGTGAAAAAAGAAAAGGTCTCAGAAAATTTATTCATGCATCCTCTCTCAAGAAGCTACTGGTGGGTGTGCTCTGCCATCACAGGGATATAAACAAAGAAAGAAAACAATGTAAGATGCAGAAACCAGGGACAGCAATACAAAGAAGAGAGACAAAGGCTACCCCAGGATGATGGTGCAGGGACATCCCAGGACAAAAGCTGTGCAACTGCCTAGAGAGGGCCCAGTTCTGATTTCAGCAGATGTAGAGAACTCCAGCTATGAAGTCAGCAAGAAGATGAAACTTATAGGATGTATAGTGTCTTTGAAGACACAAAGGGGGAAATTACCATTCTAGCACAGTCCTGGGGTGAATTTGTATTAGATAATTAAATAAACCAAAAGATAATTATTAAAATCAAGGAAAATACACAAGAAAGGAAATCCAATAATAGTATATTATAGGACTTAGTTGTGAAAAAATGTCAGAGTCACAATAATATAAAATCTGAATACAGATAAAACTGAAAGTTATCCCTGGGAGAGTTAGGAAAGAATACATGCGTGGATTGGAGAAGCAAGTAAGAGGATTATCTCTTTATCCTGTACATAGGATATTTAAACAGGAAAAAGAAAGCAATGTAAAAACATTAATTATTCTACAACATGGCTATAAATATCCAAAAAAGTAACTGAACTAGTTGAAAGTGGTTATCTTTAAGAAAAACAAGGGCCGGGCGTTGTGGCGCACACCTGTAATCCCAGCACTTTGGGAGGCCGAGGTGGGTGGATCATGAGGTCTAGAGATCGAGACCATCCTGGTCAACAAGGTGAAACCCCGTCTCTACTAAAAATACAAAAAATTAGCTGGACACGGTGGCACGTGCCTGTAATCCCAGCTACTCAGGAGGCTGAGACAGAAGAATTGCCTGAACCCAGTGCCTGTAATCCCAGCTACTCAGGAGGCTGAGGCAGGAGAATTGCCTGAACCCAGGAGGGGGAAGTTGTGGTGAGCCGAGATCGCGCCATTGCACTCCAGCCTGGGTAACTAGAGCGAAACTCCATCTCAAAAAAAAATAAAAAGAAAAAGGAATGGATAAAGAACTCTGTTTTCCACAATTGACCTTTTAGAACAATTTGACTTTTCAAAATTATGAATATGCACCATTTTGATAAAAATTAAATTAAAAAATAAATTAAGGGATATTATATACTATTTTATAAAATGTCTTGCTTATTATTCATGTTGTAAAACTCAGGTGGTTTAAAACAGTTGCATTTGTTTTGTACCTGAAAGATCACATTATAAAAATTTATGTGTGTTCTTCCATTTATTTTTTTCAATGAAGGTTATGGGGTCTGGAGTAAGAATGGTGTGAGCCATTCCTATCTCAGAGAGGAAATTCTCCATGATTCCCATCCCCAACCACTTTGTCCTTTGCTCCTCTTCTGTCCTGACCAATAGTCCCATCACAGCAACTCTAACTCTTCATCATACTTTTTAGAAAGAATATAGACTGCTTGTAGATGCTGCATTACCTGAAGACAGAGAATATGTATTATTCACCTTGGTAACTCCACTCTCTAACCCAGAGCCCAGGAAAAAAAACAGAAGGTACTCAATAAAAGCTCATGAGCTTAAAAAGAGGAAAGAGAAAGGAAGAGAAGAGAGAGATGATAAAGTAAAAGAGAAGCTAACTATAAGCAGTTGTCTGAACACTGGATATGAGTCATAGGAGAAAAAAAGATGTCTGGAGTATTCAAAAATTTAGTAGTTTAGTATAAAAAGAGAAGCTAGTGAGAAAGAATGAGAGAGAAGCCAGAAGCTGGAAGGAAATAGAAAATGTTGAGTCACAAAAGGGACAGGTAGTTAGAAAGTGCTTTGAAAAGCAGGTCATGGCCCACAATGTCAATGCTGCAGAGACATCAGGTTGGATGAGGACACAGAACTACCCACAGGGTTTGGCATGCTGACATAGCTGGTGTCCTTCACAACAGCCAGCTCCAGGGAGAGCTGGAAAGAAATGCCTCATTGGGCTGATTTGTGGAAGAAGGCAAACAGAAAAAGAAGAGTAAGCTCTGCGGAGGACTTTGAGGTGAAAGAAAGCACTTGCAGGAGGAAGATGTGGAGTCAAAATGTCAATACAAATATTAGTGAGGCATAATTGCATGTTGATAGGAATGATCAAACAGAGAGATAGAAATCAGTGACGGAAACGGAAGCAAGTACCACCATAAGAATAAATCCATGAAGAAGGAGGGAGGGATCGTGGAGAGGCTGGCCTGAGCAGCAAGAACAAACCCCCATCATAAGGGGAAGAAAGTACATCTTGTGAGGACAGAAAAAGATGGACTGGCAAAACTCATGCTGGAAAGGTGAAGGAGTTCTTAGCTAATTGCCTCTATTATGTGCTGTATTTGCAGAGAGTAAAAGGGAAGATTTTTTTTTCTGAAATGAGTGTAATTGAGTTGTATAGACAAGGATACAATTCTAGATTGTTTTTTTAGAATAAGATATATCTGTTGGAGAAAAAAAATCTAACTATATGCCAAGCTCTAGAACATCCCTCTAGGGAATACTAAAAGATGCTGTAAATCCATAAAGGAGAAATATATAATTTAACTTTAGAGCAGAACTACTACCTAAGCAATAATTGTAATATTTTGAGCTCAAGGCAATAGCTTCAAGTACAAAAATTCAATATGTTCCACAAAACATTTAATAATGGTCATTCGCAAAGTGTCAAAATAGTTCAAACCATGTGTATTAGGTATTTACATATCTTATTTTAATTCTCAGAAAAAACTCTATGACATATTATTTTATGATGTAATATTATTTTCCTTTTAAAAATGAGAAAACCAATGCTGTAAAGGTTAACTCAACAAGTTCCACAGCTACGATATAGCTGGAAATAAAAAGCCTGTCTGATTCTTAAGTCCATTTCTTTCCTTTTTTTCTCTTTTGAGATGGAGTCTTGCTCTGTCACCCAAACTGGAGTACAATGGCGCCATTTCCACTCATTGCAAACTCTGCCTCCCAGGTTCAAGTGATCCTTCTGCCTCAGCCTCCAAAATAGCTGAGATTACAGGTGTGTGCCACCACACCTAGCTAATTTTTGTATTTTTAGTAGAGGTGGGGTTTCACCATGTTTGCCAGGCTGGTCTTGAACTCCTGACCTCAGGTGATCTGCCTGCCTCAGCTTTTCCAAAGTCCTGGGATTACAGGCATGAGCCCCTGCATCTGGCACATTTCTTTCTATAAGAACAAAAGTTCAGAGACTTTTGTGGCTTCATGAAAAGCCATCATTTAAAAAATATTCATTTTAGCTAATATTTTAAATGTTAAAGGGTTCATCCATCTTAAGCTCCATTTTCAGCTTATTCAGAATTCATTATGCATAAGCCTATAGTGATACATGCCAAATTTATTCCCTTTTAAAAAACATACCCTTTTGGCTGGGCACAGTGGCTCAAGCCTGTAATCCCAGTACTTTGGGAGGCCGAGGTGGGTGGATCACGAGGTCAAGAGATCGAGACCATCCTGGTCAACATGGTGAAACCCCATCTCTACTAAAAATACAAAAAATTAGCTGGGCATGGTGGCGCGTGCCTGTAATCCCAGCCACTCAGGAGGCTGAGGCAGGAGAATTGCCGGAACCCAGGAGGCAGAGGTTGCAGTGAGCTGAGATCTCACCATTGCACTCCAGCCTGGGTAACAAGAGTGAAACTCCGTCTCAAAAAAAAAAAAATACCTTTTAATAAACACTGCTTAAGTAAACTCACTAAGGGCAGTGAGAGGTGTGGGGAATGGAGAACTAGAAGAATCTAATTGGAAATACTCTAAGAGCAACAGACTTCTTGTGGAGAATCACATGCTTTACAATATGTCTGGATTAAAACAAAATGAAAACATCGTTTTATGTAAAATAGGGCAAAAGTGTATATATATAACAGCACCAATGTAATGTCTGGCACATAGTCAGTGCTCAGTGCATATTAGTTTTCTTCTCTTTCTTTCCTAGCATTTTAGAAACTAGAAAGAGCAAAGAGTTAGTGTCCTAAATTAGTCCTTTAAAATAATCTATCTAAGAAACTGAGACAATTGCTGGTGACATGTTTTTGGAAGGTCTATGGATAATACCACTGATCAGGATACCTGTCTGTGTGAAATATGAGGTCACCTTGATCTCATAGTCTATACTTCTCATAACTTTATGAAAATAACAAAATAATATATTTCAATGAAAATGATTTTCAAAATATTTCATAGTAAATATATTTTAGCTACAGTATATTTTAAAGCTGTGTTAGGGATTAACATGACTAAAATGAATGACCTTGATTTGTGGTCCAATCTCCAGGCAATTATGAGTTAAATATTATAGAGCTAAATATGGGAGTCCAGAGAGGAAATAGGAGAATCCCTCTCTTCCTATGTGAATGTCCCAACACATGCATCTGGAAAAGCTAGCCATGAAGTGTTCTTAAGCAATTAGTAGAATGAATCTCAGAACTGAAAATCCCAATGCCTGGGTACAATGACTAGTGCTATTAGACAGTATCACTAAAGCTCACTGGGTATGTTTCCCTAACAGTGAAAAGTACAGAGAAACGAGTCCTAGACTGCCTACCGTGTTACAGATAATTCCTAAAGGAAAAAACTTTAGGAATTATCTGTAACACGGTAGGCAGTCTGGGACTACACACATACACACACACACCACACACACCACACACACACACACACACACACACACACACTCAGTTTTAAGATGAAAAGCTGAGGCACAGAAACCAAGCACCTTACAGATACCTTATAGCCTGCCTCTCACATCCCTTACCACTTAAAGCTGCTCCAAGGTTTGATTCTGAAACTATTAATCTGACATAAAATAAACAGAAATTACATGTAATAAACTTTGGCTATTCATTGCAAATCTACATATAGTAAATGCAAAGCAAATGTAAATGGCAAGCACTGACCTAGAAGTAGAGATCTGAGCACTGGTTCTGTGCATGTCTGTAACGAATGACAAGGCTGTGGGCAAATAGCCCCAGCTGTCTTGTCCGAGGGCTCTCTCACAGGTTAAGTGAGAGGTTTGGCCTCCATCCTCGGTTTTCAGCCCCGCCTGACTACAAGCTGTAATCACTTGGAGAGCTTTAAAACAATATAGTATCTGAGCCAACCCAGATTAACTATAATCATACTCTCAAGAGCTGGGGCCCAGGATGTGACAATGTGACAATGTTTAAACCATCCCAAGAGGATTTTAATGTACAGCAAAGGGCTTGGAATCTTCAGGCCCAATGACGAGTTCTGTGTTAGAAAGATCCTGATGCTTTAGCCAGTGCTGGGGTTGGGCTGTTGAGCTGAGCGCCAGGCTCTTTTCACCCACCAGGACTTAGCACATCCCTGGAGATAATCAGAAAGGATGGCTCACTGGGTGACCAAACAGCCTTAACATTTCCTCTCAGCTTGAGTAAACTTGAGGCAGTTTTTTTTTGCCCCTGACTGCAGGCCCCTGTCTTTTCCTACATTTACTTTAGAAAGTTTGTAATTGTATTTTCTCTGTCCCCTTAAACATAAATCTCCCAAACTCTTGCTGGTTTTACAACACAGGAACTTCTTTCTCAAAAATCTGGGAGCCATTCATTTGAAATGTAATCATTAAGGAAGACAGCACCCCTATCTCCCAGTCTCTATGGGAGAGTAGCAACCTAAATTCCATTAGCACCAATCAGCAAATATAGATGACCTAATCGTGCACACCAGCCTCACACAAATATGCTGTCGTATGTTGTCAGACCACACTAGCTCAGGCTAGTGCTTAAAAACTCACCTGCCTTTTGTTTCAGCTGAGTTGAGCTCAATCTCTCTCCCTTATTGCAGTCTTGAATAAGGTCTTCTTTGCCTGTTTAACTCTAGTGCAATTTTTCTTTGACAGAGAGTTTGAGTTTTGAGTGGTACTTCCTGCAGAAAAATGTAGATAAGCTGAGTGGTCTTTCTTATTTTCAGAAGCAAAAATGACAAGCCAAAGTCCTCTCTTCTGCTACCAACACCAGGTCCCAGGGCCCAACTTCATCTGTTTTAATTCCATTGGAATTTAATTCCACTGTCTATGGAATTTTAAAACTCAGTGTTTTGTTGCTGTTGAAATTAATTCGGTGACTTAACTCTGGATTCTTTCATTTATTAATGCGTCCATTAAACATCTACACATCCAACCTACCATGGAATGCAAAATGCTCTCAATCCTACAAAATTTTAAATTATAAAAGACAGCTTATTTTATTACAAATCGAAACATACTAGACAATGTACAATTTCTCCCTTAATACCAAATAAAAACTGTCATTTGCATACTGCTCCAATAAAAACTTGGGGTTTGAGGTAAGTTGCTTCTCCTTTCTGTTTCAGTTTCCTCAGCTCTAAAATGAAGAAATGATACTACATTCTCTCTTATTTTTTTCATTATAAAAGTGATTTTCCTTTTACTTAAGCATGGTAGGAGGATGAGCATGGAGCAGAATTAATGTGGGGGTGCAGGGTTTGGGCCTAAGGTTTCCTCCCACCTCGGGTTGGCACAAACCCAGATACTATCTTGGCCCAAATCAAATCAATAATGAAATGACAGGCATCCACATTAATTTTCCAGATGGCATCTAGATAGAGTACTTCACTAACACACTAGAACAGTAGGTCTCACCCTTCACCGCACGTTGAAATCACCTGGAGAGTTGGAAAAGAATCCCAGGCCTGGGGCTGACACCCAGGAGTCTCATGTAATTGGTCTGTAGTACAGCCTGGGCTTCAGGGTTTTCCTAAAGCTCCCAGCTGATTCTGATGTGCAGCCAGGGCCGAGAACCACTGCCTTATTATCAAATCTAAACTTTTTAATGCATTTTAGAGGTGCTCAATGACAGGCAGTTATAAAACTAATCCTAAAGAACATGTGGAAATGCATATATAAGAGTAGTGACCTGTACTAATATTCTAAGCAGTGTGGGTAGAACAGAGAAGCAGCTGGCCTGTATAAAGAGAACAAAGTAATAATACACAGGAAAACAAAGTGACACACCCAGCAAGAGCAGACCAAGCCCAGAAGAACAGGTAGAAGAGGAAGTGTGCCCACGGAGTGCCTACTCTATTAGGCATTTTACTGACATTCTTCTGTTATGTTTGAAACGTTCCATGGTGGTGTGTGTTATCAACAGCTATCACTATCTACTTTACAATGAGGAGACTGACTCAGAGACATTGTATAACTCCCCCAAGGTTAGCCAGGGCCCATGCTTGCACTAAAAGTTCAGGTATGTCCAAAACTCACACTCTGTTTTGTCCAGATTATTAATGAAATTACTAAGAAAAGATTTGAAATGCATCAGTGTGACAACTCCTTCCCACTAGAGAGTTAGACACTTGTTCTTATCATGTGCTTGACCTCAGTTCATTGTCTACTTTTCAGTCTGGACAAGGCTAGGAAAATATACACAAATTTGATGAATAAGATGATACAATATCATGTTAAATTTAGCTGTGCTTACTCAGAGTCACTATTTGAACAAAAGATTTTATAATTCTACTATGAAGATGAAATATACCAGGTTTTCTTCGTGCATTATAAAGGTGCTTTATTTATAACTTAGTGTCGATCAGTTCATCAGTGCTGAACTTTTTCTTATCATTTGAAGGTTTGGTCTGTTAACCTCATTTAAAAATATAAGGGATATGTTCTCAGGGCTGCTTTTCTTCCTGAAACATTTTTTACCTGCTGTTCCCCATTGCTCTGAAATTGCCTGTGCCTACAGGCTAGTTAAAAAATGATTTTGTCCATTTGAACACAAAGATTGTGTTTCTTTCACTTTTTTCAGCATCCTTGGATTTATGTCATTTTGATCTCATAATTAAGTGCCAGATGCTTTCAAGTGAGTCCTTTTGTACTCTTTGTAAATACATATTTTATAAGTCTTTACGCTTTCCTGACTTACAAATTAATTTGATATCTAAGCCCCCATGGTCTCATCCATCTCCTCATTTGTAAATGTTGCTTCTCAGCAGCTCTTTTCCCTGGAAACTTTCTAAATACAAATTCCTTTCTTGGTTTGCTCTTTCTCTGTGACAAGTCACAATTTATCCTGGTTTCTCTTTCCCTTATCGTCTTTCTGCAAACCATATACCTACAATCTGAGCCTTTTTGTTCCATGCCTTTTCTGTCTCATTTGTTCTGTGCAGTATTGGTTCAGTTCTTGGCTCTGTGCTACAAGAGATCGTATTTTGAGCTCCTTTCATTCTTCTTCTTCAGAGAAATAGAAGCAATTTAACTTCCCCAGCTCTGATTCATAGGCGCTTTCACCTGCTTGGGGCTTTTGATGTTCTGTTGCTCATTTGATTCACCACATAATTGAACATTCCCAAATTTACTTCCTGGCCATCTACTTTCTTTGTCAGGCAGTATATTTCCATAATGTCTTTCAACACCTAACAGACATTCAATTCAAAGGGGAACGCAGAGGACGAGCAGGGATGGGATGAAGCCCCCCTCCCAAGCACTGTCTTTTTTGATTGGTTGGTAGTCCAAAACGGCTCCTGGAAGCTGGTTGTCAAAGTCCCTGAGCTAAAAGCAAGAAACGACTGGACAAAGAGATAATTTCTCTTCCAGAAAAAACCTTCAGGAATCAAGCCAGGAAAAAATAAGTGCCACCATATTTAATAGCTTAACCCCAGGGGGAAGAGTAAAAGGAGTAAGAAAGGTGGATGAATTGCCAGAACCTGGCTGAAAGCCAATCTATCGCAGGATTCAACCTTAGTATTCAACCTTCTGTGAGAGGCAAAAAACAAAAAAAGGCTGAGCTATAAACAGCAGCACTTTGAGCTGCATTCCTCATTTAACCCTCAACATCCCACATCCTCATTATCCAAATAAAATTATCAAGATACTTTCCATCTTAGAAATTCCATCTGCTAGGTTTTAAGTGTAGGAGATAAAGGTCCCAGGGAGCACTGACCTTTAGAAATATAAATACAAAGAGAACCCAACAAAAACAAAAAGGCCTAAAGAACAAAACGTGATTAGAGGCAAGATGGTCCAAAAGAAGGTGCCATAACAGTGCCAAATTCTGCACTGATGCAAGGTCAGATAAGAAAGTGATTTGGGGTTTCTGGATATAAGATGCTTCATGGATGCCATCAATGTCATCATTCCTGATTTTGCTGGATATGAAAAATGAGGCTGTGTAGAGAGGGCACAGTCTCGAAAGCACTGTGTTTGTGCATATCAATTCTCAAACTAATTTTCACAGCTCATTTTTTAAGAAAATCAATAAAATACTCCTTAAGTTATCCAATGCATTACATACCGTGGTGGAAGCAGACAGTTAAGCCCAAGCCCTCACCATCAACAACTGTTGCTACCACAGTCACGTGATAAGCACCCTTAGAAACCTCTGACGATTAAATCACTGGGAAAATGAGGTGCACAACAAGTTTGTTCTCAAAAGAAATATGTTGCCATTTTGACAACTATTATGCAAAATGTGAAGCAGCATGAAGTATATGACAATTGTTTTTGTTTTCAGCAAATGTTGACTCTAATTGTGTTAGATGTAGTTAATAATAGCATAGTTCTCTGAACAGAGAGAAGCATATTGGCACAAAGGAATGCTTCTATTAATCAGCAGATTGAAATGATCATTTCAGACGTTTGTTTAGAACATTTCATTAGCATCTAATAGAGGGAAAAATGTAAACTCTAAACGTATTTTTCAGCAATCCAAACAGAAGTTTTCATCAGATTCTACTTTTGAAGACGGAACTATATGTTATTGTTGTTTTAAGAGCTCCATAAATCTTAATGTCTATGTATCAAGTTGCTTAAAATGTCAGGTGACCTCCCAGAACCCAGCAAAGGTGACAGCAAAGCCTGCTTCTGTCTCTCAGATGTGCCCTTCACCCTCTGTCATAAGATGTGGTTTGGTACAGTCATACATTGAAAATTTGAGGAGTGGAATGTTGCACTATAAAAGAGGTATTTTTCTGCTTTTTGTTGGGAATGTCCATTTTTTAATTAGATTGAAGTCTTCTCCATCTTATTTTCCCCTGGTGCTAAGCCAGTTATGCTATCAATAAAATTTCAAAAGATTATTTGAGCTGGTATTTATCATTGCTATATTAACTGAAGACCACACAGGAATATATAGTGATTTCTTAATTGTCCAAATTGGCCAAGTTGGCCAAAGGCATTATCTGGTAGCACTACATTATTTTATAAAATTATTTGACAGTTCCATGATTATATCACCAAACTGAAAAGATCCTTAGGATAGAGGCAATGGTTAACAAAGAGACATGTAATAACTGCTTACTAAATGTCTGTTAATGCTTTCACTTTTTCTCAGTGGTTTCATGTAACTCTAAGTCTTTAAGTTAAACCTGTAAGTGTAGATTTGCATGAATTTGTAAAATTAATACAAAGAAGTTTTGTATACCCTGTACTCGGCTTTAACCAGTGGTAAAATCTTGCAAAAACTACATTACAATATTATAACCAAGATATTGAAATTAACACTACTAGTCTTAATCAGATTTTCACAGTTTTCCTTGGACTCTGTTGGGTGTATATATGTGTATCAAGTTCATACAATTTTATCACAAAAGTAGGCTCATAGATCCACCACCTTGGTCAAGTTACAGAATAGCTCCATCACCAGAGGGAACGCCTGTATTGCTCTTTTTTAAAACCACACCCACCTAACCCCCACTCCTTCCCACCACTAATCTGTCCTCCATTGCTGTCATTTTATCATTTCAAGCATGTTATATAAATGAAATTATATGATATGTAACATTTTGGGATTCGCTTTATTGGCGTAATTCCATCAAGACTGATCCAATTTGTTGTATGTTTCAATAGGTTGTTCCATTTTACTCCTGAGTGATATTTTTCTAGACTAAATGCTCAAAAACACTATTGC